GGGCTTCTTCCTGCTTTCCCTTTCGCCTCCCTGCATTGTGCCTACATATGCAAATTAACCGTCATCTTTGCTGTCAGTTAACTGCCATCTGAGTTGGCAGTTAATTTGCATATAGCCCTGATTAGCCAATGAAAAGGGTAGCGTCGTACACCAATTACCATTTTTCTCTTTTATTAGTGTAGATGTTTTGAAAAATTGTAATAAAGAAGTATGCTATCGGCCATCATTGTAATGTCTTGACACCTGACATATACCCTTGCACTAAAATGCTAATCCTGTGCATGTTTCAGAGTGAATGCCATGAAATTGGCCTGTATGTTAGTCCAGGGGTTGGAAAAGTACAGCCATATCTGGCCTTATGCCTATTCTTGTATGGCCCTTTCACATTATTAAGTGGTTGAAAACAAAAGAATATTTCATGGCCCATACTTTTTATGAAATTCAACTCTCATTCTATATAACTAAGGTTTTACTGGAGCATAGCCATGTTCCTTCATTTCTGGGTTGTCTGAGGTTGCTGTAATACTGTGATGGCAGAGTTGAGTAGTTGCACCAGAGACCATATGGCCAGCAAACCTGAAGTATTTACTAGCTGCCCCTTTACAGAAAACATTTGCTGAGCGTGTCTAAAGGTCTATTAATTTATTGTCTATACATCTTCAAAGTTGCCTGGCCTGAAAAATAACATATCTATATAGTTATTTTTATACATCATTAAGCAAAGTAGTACCTTCCAAAATGGACTTGATAAATGCTCCAGTGATGATACTATCAAGTGATAAAAAATCACAAAGGCCAGGTGACATGATATGTTTAAGAAGGAATCTAAATTTAATTCTCCACACTGAAAATTATTCTTTTGGCCACACACACACACACACACACAACATTTTAAGCAATGACATTCCTATCATGTCTTGATCATCTTTACCTAGACTTGTAGTGAATATAATAAATATTCAAGTTTTTGCTGGGTAGTCCCTGCAGGTACTCAAAATCAAACTTAAGAAAGCAGTAGATAATACAAATACAGGGAAAAATAACTGATTGAATGAAAATCTTATCAAAAGGTTAGTATTACATCAACCTAAAAGAGTTAAAAAATAAAGCAACATTCTAACATGTTCTGGAGTCAGTTTTCATTTTTTCTTCTCATAGTAGAACCAGCTAGTTCAGTACCTAATGGACACAATGTCTGGCACACAGTATACAATCAAAAAATGTTGAATTTATTCAACAAAATGTGTTCAAAATCTTAACAATTGAACAACTTAGTAATTTACAACATTTATCTTAATAGGAAATGCTCATTAGGCAAGGGAGACAAAGTTAGAAAGCTTAAATTACTAGTATATAATTATTATTTTTACATCTTTTGAACTTTTCATTTTAAATATTTATTGTTGAAAGTATTACATATGTCCCCTTTTCCCGCCATTGACCTTTTCTAGCCGCCCCCTTCCCACCCAGGCCTTCACTACCCTATTGTCTGTGTCCATGGGTTATGCATATATGAGTATGTTTCAGAAACACTCTCAAGGTGGACATGGAATACATGGCAATAGATAAGAGTGCCAGTGAGTACCTTTAAAAGCTTGTATTTGATGAAAAGCCACTGTAGTACTTAATGGAAGAAAGTAGGAGTTAAAAGAATAGAATCTGAAACACCAGTCAGAAAGAATATATGCACCCCTATGTTCATAGTAGTGTTATTTACAATAGTGAAGATCTGGAAACAATCCAAGTGCCCATCAGTGGGTGAGTGGATAAAAAAGGTATGTACATTTACATAATGGAATACTATGCAGCTGTACAAAAAAAGGATCTCTTACCCTTTGAGGCAGCATGGACGGACCTGGAGAGTATTATGCTAAGTGAAATAAGCCAGGCAGAGAAAGACAAGTATCACATGACCTCACTTATATGTGGGATCTAATGAACAAAATAAAACGATGAACAAAATAAACCCAGAGACATGAAAACATGGTTGAGACTGACAAATCTCAGAGGGAAAGGTGGAGGGAGGGCCGGAAGAGATTAATTATCTGCATAGCCCATGGCCACAGACAATAGTGTGGTGAAGGCCTGG